ACTACTGGAACCACTAGCAAACGTCACCTTCTCCTGCTCCAGCCACACTACTGGAACCACTAGCAAACGACACCCTCTCCTGCTCCAACCACACTACTGGAAACACTAGCAAACGTCACCTTCTCCTGCTTCAGCCACACTACTGGAACCACTAGCAAACGTCACCCTCTCCTGCTCCAACCACACTACTGGAGCCACTAGCAAACGTCACCCTCTCCTGCTCCAACCACGCTACTGGAACCACTAGCAAATGTCACCTCCTGCTCCAGCCACACTACTGGAACCACTAGCAAACGTCACCCTCTCCTGCTCCAACCACACTACTGGAACCACTAGCAAACGTCGCCCTCTCCTGCTCCAGCCACACTACTGGAACCACTAGCAAACGTCACCTCCTGCTCCAGCCACACTACTGGAACCACTAGCAAACGTCACCCTCTCCTGCTCCAACCACACTACTGGAACCACTAGCAAACGTCCTCTCCTGCTCCAGCCACACTACTGGAACCACTAGCAAATGTCACCTTCTCCTGCTCCAGCCACACTACTGGAACCACTAGCATACGTCACCCTCTCCTGCTTCAAACACACTACTGGAACCACTAGCAAACGTCCTCTCCTGCTCCAACCACACTACTGGAACCACTAGCAAACGTCACCTTCTGCTCCAGCCACACTACTGGAGCCACTAGCAAACGTCACCCTCTCCTGCTCCAACCACACTACTGGAACCACTAGCAAACGTCACCCTCTCCTGCTCCAACCACACTACCGGAACCACTAGCAAACGCCCTCTCTTGCTCCAGCCACACTACTGGAACCACTAGCAAACGTCACCTTCTGCTCCAGCCACACTACTAGAGCCACTAGCAAACGTCACCCTCTCCTGCTCCAACCACACTACTGCAACCACTAGCAAACGTCACCCTCTCCTGCTCCAACCACGCTACTGGAACCACTAGCAAACGTCACCTTCTCCTGCTCCAACCACACTACTGGAACCACTAGCAAGCGTCCTCTCCTGCTCCAGCCACACTACTGGAACCACTAGCAAACGTCACCTTCTCCTGCTCCAACCACACTACTGGAACCACTAGCAAACGTCACCCTCTCCTGCTCCAATAACACTACTGGAACCACTAGCAAACGCCCTCTCTTGCTCCAGCCACACTACTGGAACCACTAGCAAACGTCACCCTCTCCTGCTCCAACCACACTACTGGAACCACTAGCAAACGTCACCCTCTCCTGCTCCAACCACACTACTGGAACCACTAGCAAGCGTCCTCTCCTGCTCCAGCCACACTACTGGAACCACTAGCAAACGTCACCTTCTCCTGCTCCAGCCACACTACTGGAACCACTAGCAAACGTCACCTTCTCCTGCTCCAGCCACACTACTGGAACCACTAGCAAGCGTCACCTTCTGCTCCAGCCACACTACTGGAACCACTAGCAAGCGTCACCTTCTGCTCCAGCCACACTACTGGAACCACTAGCAAGCGTCACCTTCTGCTCCAGCCACACTACTGGAACCACTAGCAAGCGTCACCTTCTGCTCCAGCCACACTATTGGAACCACTAGCAAACAACTTCAGGTCACTGAGAACCGGTCAACTAGCACAAAAATGGAAATCCACGATCGTAGTTCAGAAATAAAACGGGAAATTGACACCAACAAATGGTTTAAAAAAAATGTGAGTAAACACTTGAACATCTTTACTAGACAGAAGTGATGTAATGATGATAGGCATAGATAAGAAAGTGGAAAGGTTAACGAGAAAGGAAGATGGAAGAAGACCCAGTGAAGAAAACTCATAACTGAAATTCATCCCGAAGTTAGGAAAAGATATGGTAGTCAATATAAGACTTGAGACTTGGGAGTGGAAGAGTTACCAAGACGAGACATGAAAAAAGTATTCGGAGATACAAAGCTCATATGGTATTTATTTTACAAGATGAAAAAATTTCTGAGAGGAGAGATCGAAGACTAAAGAATATTATAATAAAGACACAAATTGCAGGTATAAGATAATTCATTTAAACAAATTTTTGCCTGTACATCAGGCTTTTTCAAGTCAATCTAAAGGATTTTTTTTTTGAAATTCAGGTCAATATAAATGACAGTTTTTATTTTAGGATATCAAATCTTCAAGTCATGACTGTAGTTAACAAAGCAATCATCACTAGTGCATTCTGTGAACTCGGAACGCAAATATACGAAGGCTTTATAAAGTAGCTAAGTAACATACAAAATATTAGAATAGTAAATAAATCCACTCTAGTAATCTCCCATAATTTTTCTTTATATTTCATTTACAATTTTTTACACGGCGTCTCTAATAAAGATAGGTACTAGGTCATTGCTTACCTCTATATTCGTAAGTTTCCTGAACTGGGAAGAGAGTGGTTTATCGCCAATGTCACTGATCTTGTTGGACATGACGGTAAACTGTTTGACAGAGCCGCGTCGGCGGTCATACCTGTCGTCAGCATGACGCTGCAAGAGCATTGACAGAAATAAACAATAAAGCATTTACTAGAAGACTTTTGTTGTGGACTAACTATACTCAAGCTGCCTCTACTGCTGTCTAGACAGTTAAGATCAGGATTATATAACATTGTACACGCTTGTTACCACTGACATAAAGAAGTTGGATCAAGTATGCTTGTAGAGAACATGACACTGATGTATTAAATAAAAAAGGGTTGTTTACTACCCAGTTTGCCTTTTAATGGCGGTGCCATGGCTCTGGTGGCCTGGTGGTTAACGCTCTCGCTTCACACGGCGAGGGCCTGGGTTCGATTCCCAGCCAGAGTAGAAACATTGGACGTTTCTTTCCACCTGTTGTCTATGTTCCCCATCAGTAAAATGGGTACCTGGGTGTTAGTCGACTGGTGTGGGTCGCATCCTGGGACACTGACCTAATTTGCCCGAAATGCGGAGCATAACAAGGGACTTTCTATATAGTAGTATGTCATTGTTGTCAGCTAGGACTGTATACCCTGTACATGTACTTGTAGTAAAATAAAGATATTATTATTATTATTATTATTATAAAGAAATGGAGTTACCCACCTCTTACTCGGAACAAACACATTTACCTATTCCCATGGAGCTGTATGGCCCTACGAGTTTAACGCTTCCCTATAAAAATAACAATCGTCCTGGCTTTACAACAGAAAGAAAATCCACACTACAACATAAGTCTATAATGTGGCTCCTAGTGTAGCCGTGACGACCAACACTTGTGTATCTTGTTGATACTTTCTTAACAATTCTTTAAATTGTTGTATTCCATGTAGATCATCATGAGCAGGATTTTTCTTAAACTAAAGTTAGTGCACGAGTTCAGTGTTGACACGACCTGCGTCTCACTGATTGGTCAAATTACTGTTGGTTAATTAATTAGGCTTGAAGCTTATCACGCGGCAGTTAGAACTATGTTAGGAATTCTTTAATTCCTTTTAAGGCCATTCACTGCCTGGATGAGGTAGAGTGTGGTCGTGCTTTGCACCCCTCTACTGTTTACCCAGAAGAGCTACTCAGAAAACAATATGGCGCTATTTGTGCGCTGGAGAGTGAATACTGTGGGCATTGAGCTCATTAGTGGGGCTTTAACGCCTACGTCAGTCGAGGTGTTATTGCCCAAAATTATAAGAGAGATATGGCATCAGAGACGAGGATTTATATGGAGTGGCACTAAATGGCATTTATAGAATATTCGTGAAAGTGCTAACAGCTCAAGTGTACGAGGCGTTGGTGGATCGTTACCAAGATGTCAGCATTAACGTAACACCGGCAGTGAGGGTCAGGTTGACGGATGTATCAAGACATTATTCGTGGGTCAAGCTCCGCAATGTGCCTTTTGAGGCTGATGAAGCAGATATCAGAAGTGTTTTCAAAAGATATGGGACTGTACATCTAGCCCAACCTGGAGAATGGGTAAAAGGAGCTTACGCTGGATTTCCTGAGGGTACTTTCAATCTCAAGATGACGGTGAGACATCCTATACCTCATATGTATATCTCGAGGAGTTTAAAACCCAGGTAATGGTGGCATATGCCGGGCAGAGGCGTACGTGCCGACTGTGTGGCGAATATGACCATATGGCAGCAGATTGTGGCAAGCTTATTTCAAATCTTACCTTACTAATAGGTATCAGTATGTCACCATTAAAGACACAGCATCAACAACACGGCCACTTGATACTGGAGTTCTGCAGGGAAGTGTCCTTGGTCCCCTGCTCTTCCTCATATACATCAATGATCTTCCAAACGTATCCCACTACCTGAAACCCATTCTTTTTGCTGACGACACGACTTATGTCATCTCTCACCCTAATCTTGCCACCCTCAACACCATTGTTAACGAGGAGCTGATCAAACTATCGACTTGGATGACAGCCAACACTTAACACTGACAAAACCTACTATATTATGTTTGGTAGCAGAGCAGGAGATGCACAAATTAACATTAAGATCGACAACACTCTAATTACCAGACATAATGAGGGCAAATTCCTAGGCAACAACCTGAATTTCAGCACCCATATCCAACACATAACCAAAAAAGTATCCAAAACGGTTGGGATCCTCTCCAAGATACGATACTACGTGCCGCAAAATGCCCTTCTCACACTATACCACTCACTTATTTATCCATACCTCACCTATGCTATTTGTGCTTGGAGATCAACTGCAGCAACACACCTAAAGCCAATAATAACCCAACAAAAAGCTGCAGTAAGAATAATCACTAAATCCTATCCCTGGCAACACCCCCCCCCACTCTTCATAGATCTAAACTTACTCCCTGTTCAGTACATCCACACTTACTACTGTGCAATCTACATCTACAGGACCTTAAACTCCAATATCAACCTTGACCTAAAACGCTTTCTTGATAGTTGTGACAGAACCCACAGGCATAACACCAGACACAAACATCTCTACGACATTCCCTGTGTCCGACTAAACCTTTACAAAAATTCAATGTATGTCAAAGGCCCTAAAATCTGGAATACCCTACCTGAGAACTCTAGAATTGCAGACACATTCATCACCTTCAAAACTACCATTAGAAAACATCTTATCTCCCTGATACACCCCGTCAACTAACTACACGAATACCACCTGGTGGTTCACACTTACACTCACTCACCCATTTGACCATAAACATAAATATTAATCTCAATCTTAAAATAATGAATCCTGTGATACTCCAATACTGAAACTATGTACTGTGCCAAAACAAAAACATTCACATTGCTAAACTCACAAACTAGTATTTAGTCACTTAGCCATAATACCAACTTCCCTCATAATTTGTAATATTTTAAAATTAAGATTTAAACTAAGTCTGCCCGAAATGCCTAGCCATGCTAGGTGTTCTAGTGGTACACTCTGCAATCATTATTTTACTATATATAAACCACACAATAACCAAATTCTGTAAACTCAGCATTGTAATCCTTATAGAGAATAAACTTTGAATTGAATTGAAAGAGGCGGAGCACCTGCGCATGAGAAAACAATGCCTGAGGAAGAGCGGAGGCAAGGAGGAGGGCATGGTTGCATGAGGAGTGAAGAGGTGGTGGCTCCTCCTGTGGAATCGGAAGGAGACGTGGTGGTTCATGAATCACCCAGCCCATTAACAGTACAGTTGTCGAGTGAAGAGGTGCAAGTGGGCACAGAAGTGAAAGCTATCGAGGAGGAGTTGGCAACGGTGTTACGGAGGTGGAGAGTCGCAGCGAGCAGGAACCTGGGATCTGGGCGGAAGGGGGTGTGTGCGGGAGGAGGGAGGACTAGGTGGCACCTGTGATGGACAGTGCGAGTGCCATGGAAGGACATGGAGGCGAATTCAGGGTGGTAGAGGTGGAAGTCCATTGTGAGGACTCCCAGGACACAGATATGGAGATGGAGGGGGCAACGAGGAAAAGGGCGGCGGCGTCAGATTCAGACGATGTTCTGACGCCAGCGCAAAGGCCAGGGAAAAAGGCATGGGGTTATGCTACCCAGAGTGTCTCTAAGAGAGGGCCACAACAGAAGGGGGGGATGGTTGGGAAGGAGGGTGGAGTACGTGGCAAAGGCAATGCCCAGGGAAATGGTCAGAAAGGGAAGAGTCGTGAAATGAGGTGGGGAGGGAAACGTTAAACCAGCCTCAGGTGTGTAACAATAAATATTAATGGTCTGTGTGATGGTGTAAAATGTGAGTACTTCTGGATGTTTTTGAATAGATACAAGGTTGACATGGCATTTGGGCAGGAACACAATTTTAAACTTGGTCATGAATTAGTGGTGCCTGGGTACCAGGCTTATGTGTTGCCGTCTGAGCGTTTAAAAGGAGGAGTGGATGTGTTGATCAGGGAGGCGAGCCCATTTGTATTGCACAGGAAAGAGAGGGGAGGGGGGAGAGTATTACGTGTGGAAGGTTGGTGGATGGGGGAGAGAGTGGCGTTTGTGTGTGTGTATGCCCCAGCAGAAAGTGAAGTGAAAGTAAAGATGGATTTTGTGCGGGAGGAACTTGTGTACTTCCTACGCACGTTACCATCTGTGGCGACTGAGGGGGGGGGATTGGAATTGTGTAGTTAAGGGGGCAGACGTGGAACCCAGAGGAGCGGGATATTTTTCCTCAGTCTTAGGGGGCCTGTTTAGAGATCTTCAGTTACGTGATGCTTTTGGGGGAGGTCTGTGGGAGGTGGAACATACTTTTATAAGGCGAGGATACGCGGCTCGTTTGGACAGGATATATTTATATTTATCTCAGAGGGTTTTGGTAGAGTCTTTTAAAACTATTGAGATGGTGTCTTCCGATCATAGGGTGGTAATAATGGAGGTGGGGTGGGAAGCTTTGGCTCGTAGGCAGGGAAGCTATTGGAAACTGAATACGATGGTTTTGGGGGATGGGGAGGGAGTGGAATGTTTTGAAGTATTTTGGGAACAGCTCTGTGAAGAGGGAAGGACTGAGGAGGATGTGGTAGGATGGTGGGATAGTGTGGCTAAGGTAAGAATGTCAGTTTTATGTGAGGGAGGGCAAACACATTAATCAATTGCGGTATGGTTTGTCAAATTATTTAGAATCTAGATTACAGGATTGTTACACGGGGAGGGGGGGTGGTGGCGGCGGGGGTTTACCCCGTGGAGGAAATACAAATGTTGAAGGACAGGATAAGGGATTTGCAAGAAGAGCATTTTGCAGCGGTATGGGTACAAGCGGGGTTGGACGAAGTACTGTGGGGTGACAAGCTGAAGGTATGACAGCAAACGACTACAGTACCAGGATTGCAAGTAATTTCTTTGGTGGGGGTTTTAGAGAGGGTCAAGTATTACGGGAAACAATGTGGATGAGTGTGTATGTAGATAGATGGTTTGAGGAGTACAGGAAAAGTAGTGGGGTGGATGGTGAGGTTCTTGGGCAGGTATGTGAGTATGTGCCGTGCAAACTGGGGAAGAGTGATTGGGAGGCACTGGGTGGGGTCATTGAGGAGGAGGAAATAT